AAAAAAAAAAAAAGGTGATGAGACTATAGCTCAGTTCAATCAAGCTTGGGTTCAATCCTTAATATGGGGAGGGGGGCAGTAAATCATGTCAAATGAACAGCATTCCTTTTTTACTGGGACGTTGCCATCCCGTCACAGGCCCCCTTTCCCAGGGCCCCTTTGCATTTGGAGGGGCCGCGGACTGGTTCTCGCCACTGGGATGTGAATGGCAGCCACCAAGGTCACCTCTAGCATGAGGTGGTCAAGAAGAAGCCTGTGTCTGGCAGGGCCACAGGGCGGAGGAACCTGGACTCTTCTGTCCCCTCTTGCAGGAAAGCTACTCACTGACTGGGGAGGGGGGTGAGAGAGAAACCCGATGCTGATACCTACTGACTTCTTGGGGGTTCGTGTATTAAGGGCAAAGACTGTTTCCCTATAGGGTGTCGCTTTTCCTATTTCTAAAAAGGGGGTCAAGTCATTGTGGCAGAATGGAACTTTAATTAAGCTGTAAGCTGTCATCCTACATCTTATGAGGTCTTAGTGTCTTCGCAAAAACACTTCCACGTGACCAGGGAAGGAATCCCTGCTTCATTTTCCAGGTGCTAAAACTAAGCAGAGTGATTATGTGGCTTGCTTGAGGTCACTGTGAATTAGTAAAAGGGTAGGATTCAATTTTTTTTTTTAACTGGGGATCGAACTCAGGACCTTCGCTTGCGAGGCAGGCGCCGGAACCACTGAGCTAAATCCCCGGCCCCCAATTTTTTTTATCCGTCAGGCCTTGGACCGGTGAGAGCCGCGGGGCAGAAAGATGAGGAGCTGATGCCTCGGCTCTGACACTGTTCCCGGGGGTGTTGAGCTACACGCGGCTCTGTGCGGAGTCTGTGTATTTACTGTCACGGGTGGGTGAGAGACGTCACGGCACCTTACATATGTTTTAGAGTGCTTATGTGGAGGCGATTGCTGAAATACCTTCCTTGTGTGTAACGGAATGTTCTGCCCTCCGCCGTGCCAACGCCCATTCATTTAGCTACGTACGTCTTTGGAGAAATTTCCCACATGCTGCCAGAGATATTTGTCTTCTCCAGATGGCCTCCGTAAAGCCAGTTGTTCTGGCAAATAAATTTACAGTCGTGACAAATGTGCTGTCTCTCTAGACGAGGAGAGAGCTCTTTCCTGGGAGAGGAAAGGGTCTCCCACTCTTCCAAAGGGGAGAACCTTTTTAGTGGAGAGTAGGCACTCGCCCCGCTCTGAGGCTGGACTTCGGTGGGACCTGAGTGGAAAGAAATGAACAGGTAGATATAGTGCCTTTATTCCCACCTGCCACCCTAAAATCTGTGTGGTCTGAAGTTTGTTCCACCAAAGAGGCCAAGTGGAGAGCCAGGCGTGATAGCGCACCCCTGTAATCCCAGCACTCGGAAGGCTGAGTCAGGAGGATCTCTGTGAGTTCGAGACCAGCCTGGGCTACATAGTGAGTTCCAGGTCAGTCGCAACTACGTAGTGAGACCCTATCTCAAAAAACAACAACAAAAAAACAAAACAAAACAATCTTGCTTTATAGATATTTTTCTCCAATACTGACTTGCCTTGTGAAGTAATCCAGGCATTTATTATTCAATACTTACCGTGGAAAAAGAATGATTGTAACACACGCACGTTCAGAAGCGTGCTAATAGACTGAACACCTGGGCAGCGCAGGCAGCGGAAGAGCCAGGAAAGTCGCCATGGCTGTCGCTTCCTTCTGCCATCGACCCTCTGCTGAGGACCACGATCGACCTTTGTGTCCTTCTGTTTTTATGAGGTGTTTAAGAACAGATCTGCCCACCACAGTGAGAGGATGTGCAGTCTGACTTCAGCTTGGTTTGAATACAGTGCGCCTTAGCCTGGAATTCACCGTTTTAGGAACTGTGTTTGGTAAATCTTTTGTTTTGCTTTGTTTGAACCTGATGGGGTAGTCGCTGCAGGCTGGACATGGAAATAGATTAGTAACTATTATTGAGTGCTGGCCATGGCTACAGGTGCTAAGTACATAGTGGTATAAAATAGGTGCAGTCCTTCATGGAGATAGATAGGTATAGAGAGGAAGAGAAAAACATCAAGCAAATAACTCAACAGAACCGTGTAATTACAAACTGTGCCTCGGGGTTGGGGGGAAACGGCAGGCCGTGATCACGGTGGTACTTTACTGCAAAGGGAGGGACAAGGTGAAAGAACTTTTCTTGACAGTTCACACAACTTTTATTATAGTACTAGCACCAGAGTGCGTCATCCAAGAGGCCCTGCGCTTCCGACTTCATAAACTCATATTAAAACACAGTTCAGAAGTAGAATCTGTAAGACACCATATTTTGGAGTTGACTTCGTGTGTACTGGGCCGTAACTTGGATCTGAAGGCCAGCATTAAGGAGACTTCTCAGGCCAGTTGGTGACCACCAGGTCTGGGTTAGAGGGGTGGAAACTAGTGACCTGAAGTTATCAACAAGGAAATCCACTTAAAAAATAATAGCAAGTTCTGTTTGGCTGGGCATGGTAGTACATGTCCGTAATCCCAGAACTCAGAGCCTGGGCAGGAGTATAGAGTTGGAGTCCAGTGTGACAGTTCAATGATTTAGAAAGTCCCTGTCTCAAAATGAAAAATAAAAGAGAGTTGGGATGTAGTTCAGTGCAAAGGTTGTGTGTTTAGTCCCCAGTACCATCAAGGAGAATAAAAAGGTTCTGTCTGGCTGCAAAGAGATGGAAATGAAATCAGTCCAATTTAATGGGCCCACGAGAGCGACCTGGTAACAGGGGCCCAGCTGGCACAGAGCACTGATCATGATTCACTTTCCTGAACATTTTGTGGGTTGATCTGCTAACCCGAAAGCAATGACCAAATCTCACCTTTTCACATGTGTTCGTTTTGGCGTTTGACCCCTAACTGAAAACCGCACGTGCAGGACTCCCCACGATGCATATTGTTACTACTACAGTGCATAGAGGATCATCTGGATTTTGCAACCCCTGGCAGAGTCTGCATGGGCCATAAACAAGAGGTTAAAATTCGGCAGTTAGCTTGAGTAACGCGTCGAGAAGCCTTGGAAAGAGCGCTATGTTGTGGCTCCATCTTGTGGCTCGCATTATGAATGCATCGAGAACGCATGCTCAATTCTCCAGATTGTGTTTTAAATTTATGAGGGTACTGGGTGCGGTGGTGCCCACTTAAAACGCCAGGTACTCTGGAGGTTGAGGCAGGAGGATCACAAGTTCAATGCCATCCTGGGCAACTTAGCTAGATCCTTTCTCAGAAATCAAAAAGTCCAGCCAAATAGCTCAATCCCTTCCCTTGTGGGGAAGTGAGCAGGTGGAAAAGAGCAGACACACGTGCTGCATCCCACCGCGTGGACATCAGGGCGTGCCCACAGCCTTCTCCCACGCGTGCACTTTTGAGAGCCCCCAGACAGCACAGCCCCAGGCTCTAACCCTGTCCCCGAGCAGAGGCGAGGCGAACACTTGGGAGCTGATTGGTTCACACCATGTCTAGGGTTTCGGGATGACTGTGTT